TTACTCCTAGCCTCCTCCAAAGTTCAGAGGTTGCACTGTGTTTTTCTCTTGCTCTCCTCATTGAAAACAATACCTAGCTCAACCTGTAACTCCAAGGAGTGGGGGTAAAAGTGACCGAATGTTGGGAAGTACCAGCATCTTCTCTATATGCCCAGCTCCTGGGGAGTACATGATGGGAATTACCAAGTAATCAGAACACATGCCATTAAGCAAACATAAAATCTGTAGCTAGTCCTCACATTTCTACAATGGCCTACGGACTGATTGAATGAAATACTTTTTGTATTTAAAAGCTGCTTGTTGTAGACTTTTAAAAAAAACAACAAAAACCAGATTGGTTAATCTTTTCAAAATACTTTTGTTAGAGTGTTTTTGGTATTTGTCATCATTCTAAAAATTAATATGCTTATATTTTATCACATCAGTCATGGGTTAGCATGCTACTTTTTAAAAATAACTTTTGAATGGTGTGAGAATAAAGTCATAATATTCAATGCATATCCTATGAAAATGGGGAAATTGAGGGGAGAGTTTGGAGTTGGGAGCGATGGAGGAGAATGATGAAAGAGGGGACATCGATCACAAGGCATGGCACTTATGACAAACTGATTTGTTGAATGGTAACCCCTTTGTACAACTACTTGAAGATAATTAAAAAATAATTTAAAAATTAGGGAACTTTGAGAAATACATATAAGTAATGTAAATTAGGTGAAAATTTACTATTGCCATGAATATCATATATGTCCGATCTATAATGTATGAGTTACTATTATAAGCAATGAATATCATTTTTCCATGTTACTTGGGTATACAATAGTGGCAATTTTGTTTTCAAGGCCTTCTTTGTTTATGATGATCCTTAAGCAACTACACAAAGAAGTTTCCAGTCAACATGTCAGTTTGTAAATAAAATGACTTTAAAAATACGCTTCCTGCCAGTTGCTGGTGTCTCATGCCTGTCATCCTAGCTACTCAGCAGGCTGAGATTTAAGGATTTTAATTTGAAACCAGCCCAAGCAGGAAAGTCTGTGAGACTCTTAGCTCCAGTTAACCACAAGCTAGACATGGAGCTGTGGCTCAAGTGGTAGAGCACAAAAGCTCAAGTAGAGCACCTAGGCCCAGAGTTATAGCCCCAGGATTAGCATGCATGTGTGTTCTCTCTCTCTCTTTCTCTCTCTCCTCTCCTCTCCTCTCTCCACTTTACTCTCTCCCCCCTCCCTCCCTTCCTTTCTTTCTTTCCCTCCTTCCCTCCTTTCCATTCTCTCTCTCCCTCTCTCCCTAAAATTTTACACAGTGATGATAATTATATTTAATCATAGTACATTTTTACATAGCACTGATTTCTAATTATAATCTAATGAACTTAATTTCAAATGAAACCAACTCTTTTATGTTAAATGAATTAGGAGTAACATTGTGAATTTAAAATAAAGTATCTAGGTGGTGGTTCTGAGATGAGGTAGTCATTACAGAAATTTGGGATTTTTGTTTACAGCAGGATTTAGTGTGGCTGTGTGGATCACAAAATAGAAATATTGAAAACAAGGAATGTGTCAGATTACTAGCATCTTTGCAATTTCCAATAAATTCTAGTTTGGATAAGAAGGCAGAAGTCCTTCCTCAGCCTATGTGATGAACAGCATCAGTAAAGAAAATAAGGAAAGAATCTGTGAGTAGAAGAGTTCCTAGCTTAAAAAAAAAATACCCCAAAGCTGGGCGCTGGTGGCTCACACGTGTAATCCTAGCTACTCAGGAGCCTGAGATCTCAGGAAAGTCCCTGAGACTCTTATCTCCAATAAACCACTAGAAAACCAGAAGTGGCACTGTGGCTCAAGCAGTAGAGCGCTCGCCTTGAGCTGAAATGCGCAGGGACAGCGCCCAAGCCCCAGAGTTCAAGCCCCACGACCAAAAAAAAAAAAAAAAAAAAAACAACCAAAAACAAAACAAAACCCTCAAAAGCAACTGCAAAGATGGTGGGAAGAAGTAGAAAGGCATTAGTCAGTCCCTGAGAATTGGTAGTTTTAATTTTCACTACTGAACATTAAAGTATACGGGTCCAAGGTAGAGAGGTAGAAGCCTGAGAAGACTACACAAGGGTGTTATGCTCTAAGGCCTGTGCAATCAGTGAAAGAAAGAACTAGATCTAAGGACAGGTCTCACAAAAAGAAAATGAAAAATATTTGCATTTGTTGGCCTCAGCATTACTTGGAGGGTAAGATTTTATTTATTTATTTTTTTGCCGGTTGTGGGACCTGAACTCTGGGCCTAGGCACTGTCTCTTAGCTCTTCAGCTCAAGGCTAGCACTCTACTACTTGAGCTACAGTGCCACTTCCAGCTTTTTCTGCCCATGTGGTGCTTAGGAGTCGAATCCAGGGCCTCATGCATACAAAGCAAGCACTCTACCACTGAGCCACCTTCCCAGCCCATTGGAGGGTAAGATTTTTATCAGTAATTTTATTAACCAGGCTAGTGGCTCATGTCTGTAATCCTAGCTACTCAGGAGGCTGAAATCTGAGGATCACAATTTGAAGCCAATCTGGGCAGGAAAGTCCAAGTCTGGGAGACTTACCTTGAATTAACCACCAGAAAACCAGAAGTAATGCTGTGTCTCAAACTAGTAGAGCACTAGCCTTGAATGAAAGAGCTAAGGGACAGTGCCCAGGCCCTGAGTTCAAGCCTCAGAACCACCACCACCAACAATAAAATTTTGTTATTATTAAGGTGTTATACAGAAGGGCTACCATTTCATAAGTCAGGTAATGAGTGTATTTTTTTAACAATGTCACCCCTTCCTTCACTTTCCCCCCAGTTTCTCTCCTCCCAACCCTGCCCCACAAGTTACATAGGTTGTTTTCTACATAGTGTCTACTGCATAGTACCATTGCTTTTGCTCACCTGTCTTCCCTCTTTTTCTGCTCCTCTTTTGACCTCCTTAAAGAAAAAAAAAAAACAAACACCATTACCACAAACAGGGAAAAAGATGTTTGTCTGATAACCTGGAGGTCCACATTTATAGTAGTGGCAAGGAATGAAAAAAAAAAACTTTATGCTGAAAAATCTGCTTAATGAGTGTCCTGTTGGTAGTGCCCGCGGGTACTCAGCAGTCACAAACCAACACCTCTCTTGAAGAATGTACCTTCACTCCACGTCTCAAAGACTCATCACTGGCATTTTTAAAAATTAGGGGCTGGGAAGGTGGCTCAGTGGTAGAGTGCTTGCTTGGCATGCATGAAGCCCTGGGTTTGATTCCTCAGTGCCACTTAAACAGAAAAGGCCAGAAGTGGCGCTGTGGCTCAAGTGGTAGAATGCTAGACTTGAGCAAAAGAAGCTCAGGGACAGTGCCCAGGCCCTGAGTTCAAGCCCTAGGACTGGCCAAAAAATTAAAAAAAGAAAGAAAGAAAGAAGGGGGCTATACTACAAGTAAGAAATGACTGACCTCTAAGATGACTTTTCTTTTAAAAGACCAAATATAACTTCTGGACATAAAAAAATATAAAAATCAACATTACACACTTGGTGTATAAGAAGTGGCATATTAGAGAAAAGTGAAAATGAAAATTGCAAACCAAGAGAAAATTTCTGAAGAGATCATCCAGAGCATTAGATAGAGAGACAAAGAAAAAAAAGCTTATAGACTCTTGGCCAGATCTCCAATCAGTGCCCCTGGACAGGATGGCAGGATAGACAAAATACTCACAAAGATGAGTCTGATTATCACTGACTCAGTTGGGAAAAAAACATCCATATCTACAAGAATCATAGTTTGCTATAGAATATTAAAGACAGAAAAAATCTAATGGAAAAAAAAAGTAGCAAGAAAAGACAGATGGAGTGACAGTTAGACTAGCAGCTGACTTCTCCAGTGAATGAAAGGAAGCCAGAGACTGCAGAATAATGCCTTCCAAATTCTGTGAGACATTAAGTCAAGCGAAAACTCTATACTCAGCAAAACTGTCTCTCAAGAAAAACATTCCACTTAAAGGCCAAACAAAGTTAAAAGTTGTTTCTCTGAAAAGAAGATCAAAACTGACAAACTTCTAGCAGGATAGAGACCACAACAACAACAAAAGAAATGAGAAAAGATTCGTAGTTGGCCGAGAGTTAGACAACTAATAAACCAATAATATAGACATCCTTATGAACAGTTAAAAAATTATCAGAAGAAATTAAACATGTTGTAAGTCAGTGGGACATAGTCTGGAACTTCAGATAGATGTTCTCACATGCATGTGAAAGAGTAAAAGACTATAGCAAGACTAACGGAGGGAAACTTAAGTGACTAGACATTAAATCTTTTCTCAATGTCATTGTACAATTTAGTGTTGTATAATAATGGATACACTGACGGGCACTCTTGGTAGTCAGATCACTGAGGAAAAAGGCAACTGGCATGGAAGCTTAGATGTCTAGATAGAAAAACATGGAAATTATTCTGTAATGCAAGCCAAACACAAAAATGAAAGTCAATTACATGTTTGTACCAAACTGTAAGTACTGTGAAAATACAGGGAAATGTTTATATTTTTGCTGGTTTAGGGAATTTTTTTCCCTTAAAAAGGAATCCACAAAATGTACAATCTGTAAAGTAAGTGTTTCATAAACAAGAGAATATTAAAAGACTGGCTGTATTGGTCAGAAAACACTTATTGTAGCTATGTGTAGAGTTCTGTAATAGATCTTTGGCTTTCCATGTACACTAGGAAGATGTGAGTGTATCTCATCCCATCTTGTTCCAGAGGCCCAGTTCAAATTTTCTTAGAAAGTAAAACTTTTAGGAAAACTAGAAAAGTTTTTAAAGAATATTATAGAATATTTAGAAAGGAAATGTTTATAGTGAAGGCAAAATCAGCTGACATATTTGTCCTTAGGTGAGCTCAGCATTACTTTGCTTTTAAGTGTAACTCAGTATTTTCTTTGTATATTATTTTGACTTCATGGAGTCTTTAATAGCTTAAAAAAAAAAGAATGTTGACACAGAAATCCTTTTCTCCCATAGGTTACTGATGCCAAGCCTTTCCCAAGACCTTTTAATGTCTTGCCTGTGAAAACAAAATGGAGTAGCATTGGCTTTCATGTTCTTCTCTTTGACCTGGAAAACCTTGTTGAACTTCTGCTGCCAACTCCACTCAGTGATGTTGATCCTTCCAGTTCCTTTTATGGTAGTGAAATCCTGAGGAGAGCCAAAAGCACAGTAGAGAAGACAACACTGACAATAAAAAGAAATAAAGCTTCCTGCAGTTCCCTCCAGGCAGAGACACAGGCCAAGCCTAAGGGTGACTGTCCTCCCCAGGGAGATCATCCCCTCAAATTCTCCGAAGAAAATGATGGCATTAAAAGGCAGAAAAAAATGAAGAGCTCCAAGAAGACAAACCCAAAGCCATCAAGAAGAGTTGATGTCAACGTCACAATAGACACAGCGAAATTGTTTCTGTCCTGCCTGTTGCCCTGGGGAGTGGATAAAGAATTTGACAACCTCTGCATTAGGCATCTCCATATCTTAAAGCTTCAGGGTCCCGTGTCCGTAGGACTTGCTACCAGTGAAGACTACTTCTCACTGATGCTGCCGGGCTGGGACTTAGGCAGCTCAGAAATGAAGAAAGAACACTCGAGAGTCAATCTGTTTTCCAGAAAAGTTTTGGACTTATCCAGTAAATACACAGCCACTCTTCCAAATCAGGTCGCAGCACCAAGAGGATGGGACAATAATGATGATTCTTTGTCAGAGTCAAATACTATCGTCTATTTGTTGAGCAGACTATTTTTAGTTAATAAGTTAGTTGACATGCCATTCGAGTTGGCCTGTGAAATTGACAGGTAAGACACGCCTAGAGATTTTGGCTATACCACTTAAGGACATGAAAACAGCTGTTATTTCTGTATTCTGCTATCTAGTCTTCCTCCCTCCTCATGGGTAAAGCAGTTACATGACTTCTTTAAAATACGAAAACTTTCCTTTGAGAAGCTCTTCCTGTTGGAGGATAATTTGGCAGCACATCTAAATGTTTTAGTTTGTCCCTTCAACAAATGTCCATTGTTCCCTTAATATGTGCTCAGAAAGTCTTGGTGCTAAATGCTAGCCACTAGACAATAGCATCTCCAGAAATGTAGTATATATTGCATAACTTAAGTATGAACCAGGAATACTTAATTGCTTATGGTGATGTAGCTCATATATGATCAGAAAAGGGAAAGATGAATTTTTTTTTTTTTTTTTTGTCGGTCGTGGGGCTTGAACTCTGGGCCTGGGCGCTGTCCCTCAGCTCTTCAGCTCAAGGCGAGTGCTCTACCACTT